TGGGAGCATATCACATCCTCACCCTCATTGCCATAGGTCTCAGAAGCCAGGAGAGGACAGAGCAAAATAACAAAAAATGTGGGTAACTTTTATAATCAATAAAAACTGAAAGAACTGCAGATGTTGTTAGTCAGAAACAAAAACAGAAATTGCTGGTAAAGTTCAGCAGGTCAGGCAGCATCTTTGGAGAGAAATCAGAGTTCTAAGAAAGGGTCACTTGACCTGAAACATTAACTGTGATTTCTCTCCACAGATGCTGCCTGACCTGTTGAGCTTCACCAGTAATTTCTGCTTTTGTTTATGATTAATATCCTTCGGTTTTCCCTGATAACATTTTACTCCCTTGCTTACGAGAACCTATCCTCGAAGATTCTTTCCACTGCCTGTTGAGCAGGAGTTCCAAATACGTATGACCTTCAGAGAAAAGATTTCTTCGCATCTTTGTCTTAAGTTGATGACCTCTTATTTTTAAACCGTGACCCTAGTTCCAGATTCCCCCACAGGATGAACATCCTTTCTGTATCCAACCTGTCAAGCCCACTCAGAACCTTTTATCTTTCTATCATGTAATCTCTTGTTCTTCTAACTCCTAAGGTAGAGGCCTACCCTATTCAACCTTACCGCATAAGGCAACCTGCCCATTTCAGGCATTAATCTAGTAAACTTTCTCTGAACTGCTTTTACACGTTTCCTGAAATAAGGAAACCAATACTGTGCACGGTACTCGAGATGTGGTGTCACCAGTAACATTGTATAACAGAAATGTAATCTCCCTACTCTTTTGGTTGAATTCCTTTCACAATAAATGATTACATTCTCCTGGCTTTCATAATTATTTACTGTACACACAAACTAGTCATTTGCAATTCAAGTACAAGGACACCCAGGTGCTTCTGCATCTCATAGTTCTCCAGTCTCTCTCCAGTCTTCCTTTTGGTTTTTAACAAAACTTTTAAGCTGCAGCAGAATGATATCATGCCAGTCAAAAAATAAAGGACTATGTATGCTGAAAATCTGAAACAAAAGCAGAAATAACTGGAGAAATTCAGCAGGTCTGGCAGAGTCTGTGGAGAGAAAGCAGAGTCAACATTTCGGGTCCAGTGACCCTTCTTCAGAAGTGAAGGATCTGAAGAAGGATGTCTGGACTCGAAACACTGACTCCTTTCTGTCCACAGATGCTACCAGACTTGCTGAGTTTCTTCAGTTATTTCTATTTTTGTTCAAGCCGATCAAATTGCCCAGAAAAAGGTGTGAACTTGAAATGGTCCAATGAAAGAGCCTAGCTGGAAGCAGCATCGGCACTCAGTGTCAGGTCAACAAGTAATCCCAAATCTGCAGCAGCTGGGAAACATTTGTCCTGGGGTGATTTTTCCCAAATTTGCTAATTCGTGGCCAGGGTCATGCTTTCTCATTATTTAAATTGGTGGATGGAGTCTCAAAGTTGAAAGGTCAAAATAATTTTCACTGGGATGGTGGCTCAGTGGTTAGCACTGCTGCCTCACAGTGTCAGGGACCCAGGTTTGATTCCAACCTCAGGTGACTGTCTTGATTGCCCAGAGGGCAGTTAAGTGTCAACCGCATTGCTGTGGGTCTGTAGGTCAGGCCAGATAAGGATAGCAGTTTCCTTCTCTAAAGGACATGAATGAACCAGATGGGTTTTTCCTGTAAATTGACTTTGGTTTCATGATTACACTGACCTGTGAATAAGGCAGGGAGATCAAAAAGTAATCAGGATGAGTAATTATGAATGTATTTTAACACATTGCTATTGTATCACTTGGTGCTTAAGAATTAACAACACAACTGGTATGAGTAAAGATGCAAGAAGTGACTGACATCTGCAAAGCAAACAGACAAGTCAAAAGTACAAGTCATGATGGAATCTGAAGCAGCTTGAACTAGTGGCACAGTGGCTCAGTGGTTAGTACTGCTGCCTCACAGCATCAGGGACCTAGGTTCAGTTCCAGCCTTAGGTGACTGTCTGTGTGGAGTTTGCATGTTCTCCCCATGTCTGCGTGGGTTTCCTCTGGGTGCTCTGGTTTCCTCCCACAGCTCAAAGATATGCAGGTTAGGTGGATTGGCCGTGATAAATTGCCTGTAGTGTTCAGGGAGGTATAGATTAGGGGGATGGGTCTGGGTGGGCTGCTGCAAGGTTCGGTGTGGACTTGTTGGACCAAAGGGCCTGTTTCCACACTGTAGGGATTCTGTACTAATTGAATTATTATTTAAAACTACAAGTCCGAACAGGTACAAAAACACCTCTCAATTTCTAACTTTCTCCATTGATGGTACTGCCTGTAGTTTAAGTTCCATACGCAGCTAATTCCTCTGCTACGTTACCCAAGGGAATATTTTACATGTGTGATAGTAACTGTTGGCGTACTTTTCAATTACAGCCTGATTTGTTTTTGTTCAGACTCCACACACATGCCCTTTCCAATGCAAGTCACTAGATAGCAGTCTGGAGTGGAAATCCTGAAACACTATTCCCCTCCCTTACCCAGGGCCGTAAGGTTACAGCTGCTGCTCTCACTTAGATCAGCAGAGACCAGGAATATGATATTCACTTTAATAAAAACAGGAAACAATGTAAAGCACACAGCAGGTTAGGCGGCAACCCTGGAGAGAGGAACAGCGATAATGGCCCTGGGATTCATTGAGGCAGGGTTTTGTAGAGTTAGGAGGTACCCAAACTCACTGGAGTTTTAACTTGGCTGTGTGGGTATGTGTGCATGTGTATGTCTCTCTCTCTCTTTCTTTTGAAACTAATTCCACCCAAGTTAATAAGTTAGATGGTCTGTTGAGTGGATAAATCTTATAACATGAGCCCACGTCCCAGAAGCAGGCTAATTTAGTGAGGTAGAGATCTTGGGGTCGGGTGTAGCACTTTCTGATTGACCGACATATTGATTGAATGACTAACTTAGGTGATTGTCAGTTGAGTGTTCAGATATTGTAAGATTGGGAAAGATCAGAAGTACAGTTAGAGGTTGGGGGAGAAGAGGGGTAAGATTGCAAGTCAGACTTTGCATGAGAGATCCAGGGTTGGTGATGGAATCAACAACAGTACCATCTCACCTGCGATAAATTGAATCAGAAGTAGATGGCTTCGTTTTAAGAACTGTCAAAATATTTTTATTTTATGAATAAAAGTACTCAATAGACTGTAGTCTGCAATATAGAACCATAAATAATAGACATCATTTCTCCTGTGTGCTTGGATTCGAGTTGAATTGGCGTGATAGGTGAAGGGTGAAAAGCTGGAACTATGCATGAGCATGAGCATGGCACTAAGTTGGCATAAGGAGTGTGAGAGCTTTGGGAATGGGTAGAGGACATTAGGTGCCATGGATGGGTCATGAGAGGACTCTTTTTTTAAATTTTATTCTTTCACTTTAATTTTTGGATGCAGTGCTGGAGCATCAAGGTAGAGTTTCTGTCCAGTCTGCATTGGCAGCTAGCAGCCTCTTCAGCTCTTCCTAGGTCATCCAGCCCAACTTCTAGACTGCAAGCCAAGACTGAAAATGGGGAAGGCACACAACCATTTTTAATGTTTGGGATCACAGAGGTGGGAATTGTCCTGCCTTTGAGCAACTGACTAGGAAACAGAAATCGGGTCTGAGTCAGGTCAGCTAAGTAAGTACATGGGAAGAGTTCCTATGCATACTAGGATATGCATGCAGTGAAACTGGCAAAGTTTGTTATCCATTTCAAGACCCGTTTAAGTGGCACTGGACTGCAATGAGAGTTAATTCTGGGATAAAGGTATAACTTAGGAAGTTAAGCAAGCAAATTGGAATTCATACAGTTGTGTCAACTTATCCACTGTCCAGTTTTACTCAATTTTGAGCATAGAGAGCTTATAATCTTGAAATAACTTGGTAACTTTGTTTATTTTCTAAGAAATAAGAATACAGCAAAAGAAAATGCAGTGGATTCCAGATTTCAAACTTAATTGCAATGCTGTGTTGCTGTAATTATGAGAATAGGTGTTTATTCAGCATACAGATGCTGAGACATGGACAGCATAGCAGGAGTTAAGACAATGATCTGGTCTCTGGTGACTATCCTGAAGCAGAGATTTAGCTTTGGAAATATATGACAAGTTTCTCTAGTGGTCTAATTGAGGGCAATTTCATACAAAGGCAGACACAAGCCAAGCAGTCCAAATTTGTCTACACTGAGAAAAGCTGATTTCAGCTTTGAATGTAGGCAGAATCATACAACTGGCCTCAATCTAATTTGAAATAAATAAAGGTAAAGTCGCCATAGTCCCAGAGGACCATAGGGCTGCTCCCTCATTGGAGACAGATGATGGTGGTGAATTTAACTAGCAAGTAGAGAAATAAAGAGCCAGCATTCTTGCTTCTGATTACTCTCTGGTGACTCCTGCTGCAAACTGTAGATGTGGGTGCCAGTGATAATAGCATGGGGCTCAATTGCGATATCCATTATACAAGTCAAAGCTTGAACATGACTCCCCCCACCCAGTCTATGTCAGGGTCTTCAAGATTAGGGGAATGAATTTGAAGAAAAAAATGAGATATGCAGAATGAGATTTCAGTAAGGCCTACTGTGTGCACGATAGTTGTATTCCCATTGTGAATATTCTATTAACGCTGTTGGAGACAAAACAGATGTTGTTGACTATTCCATTGAAAACAGAATGGTCAATGGGTAAGATTCCTTTACGGAATCTCGAATGTTTCAATGGAAAGCTACAGATTTTAATTTCAAAACAGCTTAGAAATTTACCAAATATGAACTGTGGTCTCTTTAATATCATTACACAGCACAGACCTAGTGAGATCATATATTAATGGCAAGCAGACAACCTGGTGCCAGTAAAGGACAGCAACCCTTGGGATTAGCTGAGGCTGCAATGAAAGGTATAAAAGAGAGCAACATGGAATCAGAGAAACCAATCAAGTTTATGTTAAGTTGCCAGCAGAGCATTTGTGGCAGGACACAGCCCTGTGGGAGGGATCACAGCTGCTTGAAGAGCAACAAGAGAAGTAATCAAACCAAGGAACAGTGCACTCTGCAGTAATTGTTCAGTCTGAAGAGGAAAAAGTCCATGATCTGATTTAAAACATTTATTAGAATTGCTTGGTGGATTTTTGGGTTAAAGATGTTGACTGGACCTTACATAAATGTTGAAAGTGGTAAGTTCTAATAATTAGTTGTCTCCTAATAATGTATGAGTTCCACATTTTTCAGTATTACATTACCATTTTTGTGCAATGGTAATGAAATAGAATTAGTATAAAACATACCGTAACTTGAGCTGTATAAGTCATTCTGCTATATAAGACAACTCCAGCCCAAAAAAGTCATGTTTGGTTATATTCAGCATATGAACTGATTCCCTCTTTTCAGCTACAGAGTGTAACTTGTTTTAGAAGATGGCCTTAATTTCCACCTCAAATTAGCATGTTTTAGTCATTAGTATCTACATTAGGCACAATGGATCAAGCAACAAAGACCACATTGTAATATGCATGAGAGTTTAAGACATGCCTAAACTTTGCATGGAATTCTGAAGGCATTTCAAAACAGTGAGGACCCACACCAGCAGTTCACGTTTATCCTCAGTGTGTACTTTGAGCCCCATTTTCTGAGGCTTCAAACGTTGACTTATACACCAAAACATATGATATTTTTTATAAATCAAGAGTTTACCAAAGTTTTGCTTGCATCATATTTTTGATGCAAGTGGATATGACAGTGTTTGAACAACATTGAAATGTGACCTGTCAAAATATTATATTTTATAAATGTAAAGTAAGGGTTATAATGCCAGCACAATGAGAATAGTTTCTTTACTCATTTCAAATTTCACATTGCTGTTAACCAGTTCATGTAATGTCATTAAATAGATTTGTTGGCTATAGCAGCTGCATTTTTTTTCTTTACTCTTTCATGGGCGTTGCTGGCAAGGCCTTCCCATTGGCTATCCCCAACTGCTGTTAGACTGAATGACTTGCCATTTGGTGACTTTAGACTTTGTAGCAGTTGGTAACAACTGAGTGACTCGCAAGTGACTTCGAGGATAAATAAGAGTCAGCTAAGTTAATGAGGGACTAGTGTCTAAGGCCAGGTCAGACGAGGATGACAAATACCCTTCCCTAAAGGTCATTAATGAGCCCAATAGGTTTTTATAACAAACGATGGAAGTTTCAGGGCAGCTTTACTGGGACTGACATTTTATTCCAGATTTATTAGTTAAATTTAAACTCTACTAAATGCCATGGTGAGGTTTGAACCATGTCCCTCATTAGTCTGGGCCTTTGGATTACTAGTTCAGTTACATTACCACTGTCACCATGTTCTATGTTTCACTCTTGTATGGATTCATATACTAACTGGTGTCAGCCTGATGTGAAACTGTTTTGCATGGAATACCATAATGAATAGTGCAGCTTGAATCCACAGTTAACAGCCTGACACTGAATGAAAATGATTGGACTTACCTGAAGATGTATCACTCCACTTTCTTTCAAACCCAGGCCTTAACACTTGATTTACATTATGTGCACATTTGTGATCAGACCATGCATCAAATTAATAGCTTAAAAGATTGCACAATTACAGGCATGAGAAAATTACAAATGTATATATAGTGCCCTTAAATCATCTCAATCATTTACAGCCATCCATTGGTATGCAAGCCCAAACATACATTGCCCATAATAATGACCACCACCAGTTTAGAGAGTTTCATTTATGAATTTCATATCCACCAATGTTTGCTCAGAGCCTGTCTTCAAGTCATAGTGTTTTTTTCTCACATACAGCAGGAATCAAAATCAAAATCATGTTTTGTACCTGCTGTTTCTTTTAATCCCTTATTATGGCATAAGTATAGGTTATATTAAAATTGTGGGTTCTTTCACATGCTGTACGTTAGGCACGTGAATGATCTGTGAACAAGTTCAACTTTAATTTTCATAATTAAAGAAGAGAAATATATGATGCCAGCTTGTACTTTCCTTGGTTTCCAATTCTTTGTTGATTTACACACATTTGATGTTGAACCTTATTCTAATGAGATTCATGACAACTAAGATAATCATTTAGCATTGGCAGAATGGGAGTGGGAGTGGGTATAATTTCGGGTCAAATTTCCAGGTCACACCCACTGGTGTAAATTGTCGAGAAATTTAGTATTTGAGAGTGAACTCTAAGCGGCTTTATTCTGTAAAAGAAAATAAATATTTGCATTTATGCAGCAGTTTCAAGACCTCAGGAAGACCCAAAATTAAAGTTTCAAGAATATGTATTGTTCAAATGAGCTGTTGATCTAAATGTTTATTTAATACTGAGAAATCTGTTACTAGTTTTAAAGTAGAATGCCTCATCGATAAATAAAAGTGCATTTCATAAAATCCAAATATCTTAACTATTTCAAACATATCACAATAAATTAAAAAGTTGCTGGCAATTAGCAGCACTAGGGTCATCCTGCAACATCACTGCCAGTGAGAGTGGCTAAGACTGGAATCCCACATGAGAAAGTAATGAAGCTCAGGAATGAATCTTTGAAATTTTCTGTTTAAAATGAAAATAACCAAAAGCAAGTTTTCTTCTGCCAAATAAACATTTATGTGTGTTTATTCACACTTATTGTTTTACTGTTTTAAGTAATGTTTGCATTTGGCTGTGAAACATCTGTCACATTGATATGTTAAACCAGCAGTTTGTCTGCAGGGTAGTGCTTTTTCTGACTTGTCACCAGTCTCACTGCAACTTATAAAATATAAGTGTGGCAACTGAGACTAAATTTTTCTATGCAGTACCTGGTTGTTCCTTCCTTTACTCCATCCACTAACAGTTATAAGTTGCTTTCTTTCAATTTTATTGGACTTACATTTCTGTGATTTTGATCCTTCTGACTTTCTTCTGAATCTGTCCACCCTCTTTGTTTCCCCATTTGCAAACACAAGGTTTTCTTTTGCAAATACCATTTGTCTTCTGCTCTATTCCACTCATCAGGTTTTGAGGGATTGTTACTGGCCGTCACTGTAAATCCCAGATGTACCGACATCAAACAACATGTCTCAATGTTAGATGTTCGTCAGAGATTATCTATTGATAACCAAGAACGCAACATTTCATCAGTATCCCACAATCTATTTAACACATGGCTTTGCTAAAAAAAATGATTGGGGAATGCAATAAGTTTCATTCCTCTCCAGGTTCCTCTTCAGCCCATGGGAATGGAGAATACCATCGTAAATGCCTTCCATCACCATGGTTTCCCAACCCCCTCAGTCATTTGGTAGTAGATGGGGCAGGGGAATCTTTTGCACAGGTGTATTTCATCGCCAGGCTTCCTCATTCCACACTCGTGGGATAGATGGATAATTTTGCCTCTTGCTACCTCGCTGCCTTATTCATCTGGTAGAGGGAAGAGTTGTATGTGCACTTTGCCTTTGAAGATGTTCACTTTTAAGGACTCTATGTGCTTTGAGTATGCAATGTTGCAACTCTGGCTGACAGTGTGTCTGCTTTGAACCTACCCTCTCAAAAATAAGTTGATTTGCTGTAATGTTTGTTTCATAACTTGTAATGTGTTTTACATAAACTAGGCATGAAGTTAATCAATTCTTAATGAGCGATTGATTATTAAACTACTATCATTAATATGATATATATAATTTAAGTCAGAGCAGGGACCTTGTTGGTAACACTTTTGCCTTGCAGTCTGAATTTTGTGTTCAAGCTCAAGTCCAAGACCTGAACACAAAAATCTGAACTGACAGACTTCCTCCATACTGCACTATCAAAAGCAGTGCCCCTTGCATAAGACTTTAAACTGAAGTTCCATCTGCCAACTCATTTGAGTATAATACATCCTGTGATATCATTATGAAGAAAAAGGAAGTTGACTTTAGTGTCCTGACCAACATTTCTCACAATTAATATCCCAATATCAGATTATCTGGTCATTATTGCATATTATTTTGAGAGAGTTCACGGTATGCAGTCAGCTGCTGCATTTCCTACATTACAACATTAACTTCAATTCAAAAAATACTCCTTGGCTATAAAGACTTACAGAATATCCTGAGGTCAGGAAAGTTGCTGTACTCATGCAAGTCTTCCTTTGTTCCATGACAATCCTTAAAGTCAGTGTGCAGTGTGCATTGCTTGGAGTATTATTTTAAATTTATTTTCTTTATCAAATCTGATTTATTTATCATTTCACCTGTCATTAGACTATGGAAAGGGTCAATATTCAAGGTGCAAGAACAGTAGCTGACTCACTCTAAACTGTATCATACTCAATAAACAGCCAGTTGGAGACAGATGACAGCAGCCTTTGATATCTTGATAGATAATGCCACTGTGAGGCGCAGCTGCTTTTGTGTCCAAATTGTTTTTATTTGAATTTTACAACCATTGTCCAAATTACATCAATAATATATTCAAAACATTGAAGACCTAAAATGATTGTGATATTTGATTAGATGACCCCCTTACACCTTAAAAGTACTGGAATCCTACTTTGCTTGATATCTTTTGGCACATTTTCAAATCTAAATCCAGGATGAATGCAAAAAGTAATTAGTGTACTGAATAGTTAGTGATAGAAACCAGACATCAAGCATTCAAGCTTCATATAGCAGCCAATCAAAGATGCTTTTCACTTTATCTTTTTTTAAACTGTTGACCAGGGATACCATTATCTGCCCATTTCTATCACACATTTTCTCTGCTGTAGCTGTGAAATTGAGTGAGTAACACTTTACCTCCCCTTCTGCTAAAGTTGGCTTGCTTCATCTGACACATATTGGGAAGTACGCACTGGCATAGAACAATGGGATGCTTATATCATACAAAGACTCCAGCTGCACTCTTATAATGTTAGACAGAAAATCTGCAGCCCATTTTATAAAAGTGGAATTAAGAGATACATTTCTTAACATTGTAGTCATAAAGATGAAAGATGAAAAAGTTACTTCTTTAAACCACCAAACTGACTTGGGTCATTGTGAGCTTGGTTAACGTCGCACTGAGCAATCGTTAAGTTAAAGGTAATACATCTTGAAATAGAAGTGACTTGTTTTTGTTGTGGCCAATAGATGACATTAAAATCATTTTCACCCAAAACGATCATTGATATGGCAGCAGAATAGGTAGGCGTTTCAAATCATCCTAG